GAAAAGCCACACTAAGTAATTTACTACACCGCAGTAGGATAGAACTAAATAGCTAGAAGGTGCCCTGGAGTCATTGGGAGAGTTTTTGTTGTGTTTTTATTAAGACATGAGAGACTTGAACATGTTTAATTAGAGTCAGTGAAGTTAAAGACAAGTGATCATTAATGGATCAAGATCCTAGAGGAAGAAGGAAGGAATAAGATCCCAATGGAGGGGCCTAGGCAAAAGAGGTCCTCTACCAAGTTAGAGAGAAGAAGATGAAAATGGATGTGGACATTTTACAGGGGAGGAGAAAAATGAGAGACAAAAATTTTTTCAAGTTCAGATCCAATAGATTCTACGTACTTCAGTGAAAGCCATTGTCTCTTCTGTCCTCAGGGAGGGTAGAACTCAGCTCTGTGCATTGGAGAACAGAAGAAGGACTAAGATACTAGAGGATCTGGACACCACATCCTAGGGGGCACAGCTGAAGAACAAGGGATGCTTACAGTGGAGATGAAAAGCCTAAGCAGAGGGCAGAGAGAAAGCTCTTTTCAAGTAGTTGAGGAGTAGTGTGGGGAAGAGGGGTTAGAATTATACTGTTGCTCACCAAGGCAGATCGAAGACTAGCAGGTGGGAGCTACTAGGAATCAGATTTCCACCAAATAGAAAAATTTGATCATATATTGAGATATCATCACTGGAATTAGCTAATTTAGACAAACCTCCCCTAACATTTGCATGACTCAGAGCAAGGGTACAAAGGAGGCTTATACTGTATGTCTATACATTTAAAAGTTCTAAGTCAAGATAACAAACTTAAATAAAACTTAATCCATATTGTTGTTGTTGTTGATTGTGCCATTGAGCGGATTCTGACTCATGGCACCCCCATGTGTATCAGAGAAGCACTATGTTCCACAGGGCTTTCTTGGCTGTGATCTGTACGGAAGTAGATTGCTAGGACTTTTCTTCCATGATGCCACTAGGTGGGTTCAAACTGCCAACCTTTAGATTAGCAGCCAAGCACAAACCACTTGCACGACCCATTCTGTCTTTCTACCTTGAAAAATATACCTCCATGATGACTCGAAAGGTCAGGTTCCAATTTACTTTCTCAGACTCTCTAAAGTTCCACATGGAGTCTGTACAGTGCAGGGAGAATTGGTCATCCACCTCCCAGCTGCATCACACTCACCTACTTTTCCACCCCTCGCTCAATCCCACACTACAAGGATCTCATGTTCACCAGTGCAGACACTCTGGCCTGGGTATCCAAGCTACATCTACTTCTTCTCCTACACACAGATAGCAATCCTTGGTCACATTTCAGGCCAAAGTGTGTGTGCACTGGTGATGTGGTCCACCCTTGATAGGGTGCACTCAGGAAAGACGACCATGCAGGCCGTGGAAGCAGATTTGTCCAAGGAATATCAAGCTCTAGATACCCAAGGGGATGGGGGTGAGCTACACAAAGTCTGTAGTGTCAGGCATGGATGGAGGAAATCCACAGCAGGATTATCAAGCATAGGTT